GGCTCCAACCCTCCTCCTCCCTCTCCTCCTCCTCCTCCTCCTCCTCCTCCTCCTCCTCCTCCTCCTCCTCCTCCTCCTCCTCCTCCTCCTCCTCCTCCTCATCCTAGCACGTAGCATGACCCTCCGCCTCCTTCCTTCCTCCTCTGTTCCTGCCTCCCTCCTACTTATTCCCCCTTCCTCTCCCCCCTCCTCCCTGGCCGCCCTGCCGGGCCCGCCTGGGCGTCGACGCGCTTGCTCCCGCCGTCCCACTCCACGGTGCCCACCTTGGCGCTCCCCCCCCCGACGGGAGGGTGGAAGAGGTCGCGGCGACGACCCATGACTACCTACCAGACCACCCCAACCCAACCCGAAGGCCCGAATTCGACCCGAATTTCGGGTTGGGGGGGGGGGTACGGATCCCATGTGTTCTGTTCGATGTTCCCCGACCCCCCCCCCCCACTGGAAATCGAGGATAAATTTGGGCCCTCGGGTTGGGCTGGGGTGGTTTGGTGGGTGGTGAATCCAGACATCCAACGCCTTTAAAAAAACAACACATCCAGACAACGGTTCCTCGTCGTGTTCGGCTCCGGGGGTCTCTCGCGGGGCCCCGTGGCTGCCAGACGACGACTCGAGACGAAACGCCGGCACGGGGGGAACGGGTCGGGACTTCCGGGGACCCCGTGTTGCTGGGGAGGGTCCGGGGCCCAGGCTGGGGGCCTCCTGCCGCGCTACTGCCCGGCGAGGCGTGCAAAGGGTGCCGCGCAGCTGCCGCTGCTCGCTTGGAGGGCCGATGCGGCCACGGCTCTCTGCTGCTGCTGCCTCTGCCAGCAAAGGGCTCTGCGGGAACGCCCTCGGACTGCCACGGCTGCCCGTGCACCAGTGGGGTGGGGCCTCCTTTGGCAGGAACTGCCGACGGGTCCGCGGGAGTGTGAGGCCCAACGTGCTGTAAACTTCCCCGGGCCTCTGCAGGGCTCGTTCGGCTTGCCCCGTTCTGAGGTGGCCCTGCGGATGCTGGCCGAGCGAGACACGGTCAGGAACTGTTGCTCAGCGTGTCGCCGCGGCGGCCAGGGCGACGAGCTATGCCTGCAGCGTTGGTGGCGTGCCGCTCCGCCTCGCGGGGCGGAAGGCAGCGGAAAGCTCGGTGCGTGGACGCCCGGAGACCACGAAATGGATAGCGTGCCGCACCGGAGAATGGTGGGCCGGAGCTGGCGGAGGAGCACGCTATTTCAAGATTCCCGACCGCAGAACAGTCTTCCGTGGCGAGGGGCCGGGCACCACAGGACCGCCGTCGACGGCCACCAGGCGCACCACGTGCGGCCATCACCTCGCGCGCTTCTCAACTTCGGTGGAAGGTGGAAGGAAGGACGTGTTCGCGGTAGTTGAAGCCCGTATGGTAGATGCTCAGGGACAACCTTACCCGACCCTTAGGTGTCACCAAAACGGCCAAGATGCTGTCCCTTGTTTTGACAAGTCGCCCTTTGTGTCCAGATTCGGTTCCGTTCTCTCCGTGCTCCAAGAGCTCGCAGACCGCTGATTCCCAAATATATCGCCGCTGCTTGCTGCGCAGTTCCTTTTTCCGTCTCAGCTCACCGCATGACTCCTCGTCCGCCCGCGCCATGTTTGTCCACTCTCAATTCGTTTGCACTGCGTTGGCAGATTTCTTCTCAGACCTTGACCGTTCCTGCCTCTCCTGGCACGTCCGTGTTGAGCTGCCTTTAAGTTCCCGTTGCCGCTCCCAGGTCGGGCCGGTTGTGCTTCCGAGCTTCGTTTCCGGTCCGCTCTCAACTAGCCCAAGAACGAAAGCGCGAAAACGTGGGACCAACAAACTCCTGGGTCCCGCTGGGAGACCACTGAGTTCCTGCCTCAATACAGGCTGCTGCTCACATGCAGTCGCACGTTACCCCCGTTGGGCATTCTTGTCAGGCGTCCGGGCGCAAGAGTGACCCAGGCCAGAGAGTCTTGTCAAGCGCGGCTTTAAGGGGCCGCGTGAAGCCAGACAGAAGCGCGCAAACCGGTGCAGGAATGACCCACGTGGGCACGCACCAGAGGTCACTCCGGCGAAGGGCCGCTCTTACGGGCAACGGACTACGCCGAGCTACCCCCTGTCCCCGAGGTGTGATGCGTGACGGTGCCCAACCCGAAGGCGAAGGGAGCGGAGGAGGAGGAGGAGGAGGAGGAGGAGGAGGAGGAGAAGGAGGAGGAGGGAGGAGGAGGAGGGAGGAGGAGGAGGGGAGAAGGTGGAGGAGGAGGAGGAGGAGGACGAGGAGGAGGAGGGAGGAGGGAGGATGGAGAAGGGAGGAGGGAGGCCCCGCTTCTGAGCCTGGGGGCGCTCGTTCAGACGCGTTGCCAGTCAGAGGCTGGGACGGGAGTGGGCTGGGCTCGTCGTGCCAGGGGCCCCAGCGGGCTCCAGGCCAGTGGCGCTCGCATTGCTTCCGGCGAGCTTGCTCGTGCTCTCCGGGGGGCATCCGGGAGGAGCGGAGCGGAGCGGAGCGGAGCGGCGGCCACACATCCGTTCCGCGGGACGGCTCCGTAGTGCGCGAAGCGCGCTGAGAGGCTGGAAATGCATCGGACAGTGACTCGGTGAAACGATGGAGCATCATGCGGTACGGCGTCCAAGAGGGGGGTTCGCACACCGGGGCCCGAGGCACGTGCACGGCCCAGCGGGAGGGGGGAAGGTGCCCAGGGGGGGGCACCGAAACAAGAAGAGGCGCAACGAGGTCCGACGAGACATCGGGGCCTCGGCCGCGGTGCCCTCCCCCCCCCAAGTCATCAACGCCCTCTCGGCCGCTCCTCGGTTCTCCTCCCCACGTGTACCAAATCTGGGGCCAGCGCGCGCGCGCATCGCGCGCGCTAACGTTCCAGCCAGCCTGGGCACGAAGGCTCCGCGCGGGAGACGGGCCGCTGTCTCGATGGCGCTTGAAGCGAAGCTTGGGGCTCCCGCACATGCTCCACACCCTCTCACAGGGACGCCGTGCATAGGGGGACGAAGAATGACATAAACGTAAAACTCGGAGGTCCGCGCGGATCTCTCGGATTCGCGCTGGACCCCCCTCCATGGCGCGCAGAGCGCGCCAGGGGCGGAGGCGCCGCCAGGGGGATCCGGCGCGGATCCCCTAGCGCAGCTACTCTACCCCAGACATTGAATTTCCCCAACGTCGCTTACCGCCTATCGGGGATGGACAGACCTCCCTTAGTGAGAACGGCCTCGGGCCCAGACCTGGCGGGCGCAGGCCTGGAAGATGACGGCCGCGGCGCCCTCTCGAGAACCGAAAACGGACAATTCACTAATCGACGTGTCAGGGTGGGGGTTCTGTCCACCCCCGAGCCTACACCCTGCGAGATGCTTAAGAAATCATGGGTTAAGAAACTCCGAGTCTCAGAACTTGGATAAAAAAACGAACATTTCTATTAAAATATTAAGATCTACATCGAAACGGTAAGAATAATCGAGACTCTGGCCGAAAACTTAAGTCTTCTTAAGCATCGCCTAAGGTGTACTGAATGCGTGAGGGTGTGGAGGCGAGGCCCCGCCCGCCTCGCGCCGCGGAGGCCTCGCGGCCCGAAATGCCTGGCAGCTTGCGGTCTCCAGGGGCCCCCTCGCCCGGCCGTCCCCGGAGCCTGGTGAGGCTCCGCCTCCTCCTCCGCCTCCTCCTCCTCCTGCTCCTGCTCCTGCTCCTCCTCCTCCCCCTCCTCCTCCTGCTCCTCCTCCTCTTCCTCCCCCTCCTCTTCTTCATCCCGTTCCTCCTCCTGCTCCTCCTCTTCCTCCCCCTCAACTTCGTCCTCCTCCTCCTCCTCCTCCTCCTCCCCGTCCTCTTCTTCATCCCCCTCCTCCTCCTCCTCCTCCTCCTCCTCCTCTTCTTCTTCTTCTTCTTATTATTATTAGTAGTATGATTATTATGATTCTTAGTATTCTTATTCTTATCATTATTCTTATTATTCTTAGTAGTATTAGTATTCTTCTTATTAACATTCTTATTATTCATCTTATTAGTAGTCGTCGTCTTCTTATTATTCTTATGTTTCTTAGTCTTATGATTCTTGTTATTATTATGATTCTTAGTATTCGTCATATGTCCTTATCATTGTTCTTCTTAGTATTCTTCGTATTATTATTATTCGTCTTATTATTCGTCGTCTTCTTCTTACTCTTATTATTCGTATTATTCTGATTATCCTTATTATTCTTATTATTAACACTGTTATTATGATTCCTCTTCCTCTTCCTCTTCCTTTTCCTCTTCCTCCTCCTCCTCCTCCGCCTCCTCCGCCTCCTCCTCCTTTTCCTCCTCCTCCTCGTCCTCCTCGTCCTCCTCCCCCTCCTCCTCCTCCTCCTCCTCCTCCGCCTCCTCCTCCTTCTCCTCCTCCTCCTCCGCCTCCTCCTCCTCCCTTTCCCTTTCCTCCTCCTCCTCCTCCCTTTCCTCCTCCTTCCTTTCCTCCTCCTCCCTTTGCTCCTCATCCCTTCCTCCTCCTCCTCCTCCTCCTCCTCCTCCTCCTCATTCCTCCTCTCCTCCTCCTCCTCCTCCTGTCCTCCTCCTCCTCCTCCTCCTCCTCCTCCTCCTCCTTTCCTCCTCCTCTCCCTTCCTCCTCCCTTTCCTCCTCCTCCTCCCTTTCCTCCTCCCTCCTCCTCCTCCTCCTCCTTCATCCTCCTCCTCCTCCTCCTCCGCCTCCCTCCCCTCTCTCCTCCTCCGCCTCCTCCTCCTCTCCTCCTCATCCTCCTCCTCCTCCTCCTCCTCCTCCTCCTCCCCTCCTCCTCCTCCTCCTCCTCCTCCTCCGCCTCCTCCTCCTCCCTCCTCCTCCTCCTCCTCCTCCCTTTTCTCCTCCTCCTCCTCCCTTTCCTCCTCCTCCTCCTCCTCCTTCTCCTCCTCCTTCTCCTCCTCTCCTCCTCCTCCTCCTCCTCCTCCTCCTCCTCCCCGTCCTCTTCTTCATCCCCCTCCTCCTACTCCTCCTCCTCTTCCTCCTCCTCCTCCTCCTCCTCCGCCTCCCGGGCCTGGGGAAGGGGTGCAGACCCGTGGGGAGCCACGCTGGGAGCGCACGCACGACGACGGAGGCCCGAGACGGAGGGAGGGGCGGCCGCGCCTGCACGATGACGCGTCTGAGCCCCAGCGGGCCGGCCCGTCCACGGGTCCTTCTCGCTCCGCGCTAAGGGCGAGCGAGCGCCGCGCCTCACGCGGCGAGCACGGCCTGGCGGCGAGCGCCGCGCACCCCTCGGGCCTGCAGGAGCGCCGGTGCGGCCTCATCGCTCAGGATCGCCAGGGCTTCTTTGAGGCCCTTTATCTCGCGCTGGCGGCGCGACGCCCGCTCCTCGTAGGTCTCCGGCTTGGCGATGCAGCGTTCCTTCACCTTACCGAAATACTCGAGGACGGAGGCGAGCTCGGCGTTGGTGGAGGCGCGGTCGGAGGACAGCTCGTCCACGTCCTTGTCCAGGCCCTTGAACTCCTGGACTTTGTACGTCACGCTCTGGCTCTTCATGGCGGTGGACACCTTGACCTCCTGCGTCCTCTTCTCGTAGGCCGCGGCCGCGTCGCTCTCGGTCTCCTCCTCCTCGGCCAGATTCTTGGCGAAATCGGACTCCACCACCAGGAGGATGTCGATGATGCTGCCCCCCGCGCCAGATGCCTTCGAGTGGAACACGGGCTTGGCCGGCTGGTCATCGCTCGCCTGCAGCATTGCCGCGCCATCGCCATGGTAGTACTTGCGGAGGACCTGCAGGGCCTTGCGCACGCCCGTGAGCCCCAGCTCGAGGTCCGCCTTCGCCTTCGTGTATGCCGAGTGCTCGTCGGAGCGAACCTGGGTGAGCTCGGCCTGCTCCTTGGCAAGCGCGGCGAGCTCCCCCTGCAGAGCCTTCACCTCCTCCTTCAGCCGCGCGGAGCTGGCGCTCTTGCTGTCGATCTTGGAGGTCAGGCTCGCGACGTCGTCCTCGAGCTCGGACTTCTTTGCCTCGGTCTTGGCGATCTGCTCGTCACAGTACGCCTTCTCCGTTGCTGCGGCCGAGGCTTCGGCCTGGAGCTTCTCAATCATGTCCCTGATCAACGACTTGACTTTGACAAAGGGGTCCTCGCCGGCGGAAGCGCCGTACTGCATGAGTGCGGAGATGCGGGAGCCGAGCTGCGAGAGCGCCTCGGAGTGCTCTTTCTTCGCCAGCCTGCGCACGAACTGGACCAGCTCCGCGCCCTTCAGGTCCGCCCGAGTGCGCAGCTGCGACGCGGTGCGCGACTGCTGCAGGAAGGAATACGTCTGATCCACAGCGCCCGAGCTCGTCTCCGTCAGAATCTTTTTCGCCTCGGCCAGCGTCTTGAGCTCAGTCGTGCGGCTCGCAACTGAGGCGTCGTGGTCGGACGCCAGTTGCATGCAACCCGCCTGTACACTTGCCAGCGACGCTTGCGTGTCAGCGAGCAGCGCGGCCGTGGTCTTCAGCTCGCCAGAGGCGGTAGCCTTCCCCTCCTCGGTCTCTGACTTGAAAGCCTTCTCCTCGTTCATCTCCTTCGTGTCGTAAGCGGCCTGGTCCTCGAGGCTCTGTTTGAGGAGCGCGTAGTTCTGCTTGGAGTTGGACTCCGCCTTGCGAAGGTCGGCCAGCTGCTCCTCCGCCTTGGCCTTCAGATTCTCCAGCACGTCCAGGATGCCCGTGCTGTGCGACTTGTAGGCCGCAGGGTCGGGCGCCCCGGCGTCATCAGCGTCGTCCGCAGACTGCTGGCCCTGGACGAAGGCCACGAGGGTCTTCTTGTCCGCCGAGTCGAGGCCGCTCGCGTCCACCACGGCAGAGAGGCCAGAGATGAGGCCCTGGACACTGGAGGTGTCCATCTGCACGAAGGCGGCCGGATTCTTGGCCATTTCCTTCTCAATGACTCCGATTGCTCGGGTCAGCGCGCTGAGAGCCTCCATCAGCTCCGCCTCCGCCGAGGAAAAATCGGAGGCCTCCTTCTCCCGGATCAGGGCGGAATCCTTCAGCTCACTCTCGGCCTGCGCCACCTTGGCGGCAAGGTCCCCGATCTTGCCCTCGGAGGCCTCGATGTCGGCGGTGGCCTTCGCAATGGTCGCCTCCAGGCTGGCCTTTTTGGCGTCCGCGACCTTGATGTCGTTCTGCTGCGTCTTGGTGGTGTCGTCGCACCACTCCACGTACTCGGTGAAAGCCTTGTCCTCAGCCTCGCCATCTGCCGTCACCTTCGCAATCAGGGAGTCCATGAGCTCGATGACCTTGCCCAGCGGGTTCTCATCGACGCTCGCCCCTCTGCCCACGCCAGCGAGCACGGCCACCAAGAACAGCCCAGCGAACTTCATTGCTGACAGAGGTAGCGGCGGGAGATGACAATCGACTTCGGAGCTAACAGCACAAATATTGAGCCAGGATTGCTACTACCGCCGTCTCCCTCTGTCTCTATTTGGAACCAACCACAGACAGCGGATGGGTCGCCAGATATAGCAGGCCTCTACTTTGGAAGGGCGAGTGCTCGGAGGTTTGTGGTGATGATCCCTTAGATCAGACAAGGCATTGTGGGGGTATGGCCAGTATCATGCACTTCCAAGCTTTACACTGTGACTCCCTTCTGCTCGTCTTCTGGCGCCGTGAATGGAACAGCGTGGGGTCAGGATCGGGCACTCCTGGGCACGCCATGGCGCTCTGCGACGCAATTCTATATCCAACAATGTGTTCTGTGGAATCCACAGCGCTCAATGTTGTTATAAGGATTTCTTCTAAAATTCTATATGCAACAATGGTGCTCTGTTGCACACGGTCGCTGTGGTGCATACAGGCGCCGTGGTGTACACTGGCGCTGTGGTGGACGCAGGTACTGTGGTGTACACTGGAACGGTGTTGCAAACTCTTGATGTGTTGTGCGCAGGCGCTGTGGTGTACACAAGCGCTGTGGTGCACGCAGGTACTGTGGTGTACACTGGAACGGTGTTGCAAACTCTTGATGTGTTGTGCGCAGGCGCTGTGGTGTACACAAGCGCTGTGGTGCACGCAGGCACTGTGGCATACACTGGCGCGCTTTTGCTACCCGTCCCCGGTCTTTCCTAGGCATTCCCAGACGCCGCCGGCGCGAAACGTGACGTCATCGGCCCCATCCCCCCCCACATGACGGCCGTCATTGGCCCAGAATTCAAAACTGGCTCCCGACGGAGCCGTCCAGCAAGCTCCTGGGAGGCGAAAACTCATCACAATGTGCTCGATTCCGATCAAAGGCGAATGCCCTGAGAGTTCTCTTATGTGATTGGGCAGACACTCGAAACGGCAAAATGACTATCGGCACCCGTGCCAGCATGGTGCAAAATTGAAAAACATATGGCAAAATATGCGAAGTGGCTTGTTCCCCATACTTTTCGGCTTCAGATCTCCTCGGGGATAGCCTCAGAGAGACCAAAGAAGCCTCCAAGACGGAATCCAACCCTACCCCAAGAGAGACCCTGGACGGCTCCAAAACTTCCCATGACTCCCCAAAACGGCCCACCACGGCTCCAAGACGGCTCAGGACCCGCCCAGACGTCCCCAGACCGAGCATCATCGCGGCAACTTGGTGAAGCCGTCCCGCCCAAGACGGCTCCGAGACCCCGACGGCCTCCAAGTAGCCCCCAACAGGTCTCTAAGAGGCCCCTCAAGAGGGCCCAGGAGGCCCCCAAGAAGCTCCAAAGAGGTCTTCAAATTGGGAGGAGGGAGAAGGGGAGGAGGAAGAAATCAGGAGGAATAAGGATGAAGAAGCAGGAGAACAAGGCTGTGGACAAGAATGGACGTTCCAAACTCGCGCCAGTCTATGTAGAGCGCAGATCTTAGGGGAACCTAAACTCAATGTCCTTCCTGCTGCGCTGCTGCGCTGGGACGGTGGCGGTGCTTGCTGCAGGCAGCCGGGTTAAGAAGAAAGAGCATCAACAAACAATTACTCACTGCGTGGAGCTCCCCAAATGCGCATGTTTTTTTAAGGCAATGTTGTATTGGGGATATTTAAATGAGCGTCTAGCCATATGAGCCATATGTGCATATCATGTTGTAGGGTAGCGCAATGGTGAACATATGCCTATGACAATTTTGTTATAAGAGCGCGTCTACGTGAGCGACGAGCACACGGGCTCGCAGCTCGGCTGCACATCCAACACAAGCTCTGCGCCAGCAGCACCTGGTCGCTCCTCCTTGACCGCCGTACGCAACGGGGAGAGCCACTCGGGACACAACGCAAAAACAGAAAACAAGCAAACCGCTGGAGGCATCCCCACAGAACGGCGACGAACGGAGCCGTGAAAGCACCCTTGGCGGCTCCCCTCAGGTAGCTGAAACCAGCGCCACGCCTGAGACATCCTCACAACCTGCTCTCCAAGCGAAGGATGCTGAGACAGAAAACAAGCAAACCGCTAGAGACATCCCCACAAAACGGCCGCGAACGGGGGGTGCTGAAACCAGCGCCCCGCCTGAGACATCCTCACAATCTGCTATCCAAGCGAAAGATGTTGGGACAGAGAACAGGCAAACCGCTTGAGACATCCCAACAAAACGGCCGCGAACGGGACCGTGTCATACCCCTTGGCGGCTCCCCGTAGGGGTGCTGACACCAGCGACCCGCCTGATACATCCTCACAACCTGCTGTGCGTTGAGAGAGTCAGACAGTGAGAAGGTCTGAGCATGAATAAGTCTGGGTATGAATGAGTCCCAGCATGAGTAAGTCTGAGCATGAGTAGGTCTGAGTATGAGTAGGTCTGAGTATGAGTAAGTCAATATGATCAGGCCTGAGTCTGAGTAAATATGTGTATGAGTAAGTCTGTGTATGAGTAAGTCTGTGAATGAGGAGGAGGAGGATGAACAGGAGGAGAAGAAGAGGAAGGAGGAGTAGGAGGCGTCCAAATAATAACAAGAACCCCATCTCAGGATATGGGGAAGTAGAAAGCACAGGGTAGATACTAGACATCATTTACCGAGACTCGAATCCCCGATCATGGCATTCGTCATCCTCTGTTTGCTCTCGCCCTTCCCCTTCCGTGCTCCGTTCGTCAGCCACCGTACTGTAGATATACAGTGGAGTGTCCTCAAGTTCCTTCGAGCTCCCTGCATGGAGTATTGTAGAACTGTTTTGTGCATGCATACATGCACGGATATTCATGCATTACACACGTACATGTAGCATGTGGCTGCGCGTACGTGTACATGTGCGACTGTCTGCGCATATGCCCTGTCTTTGCTTGTGATCGCGCTCCTGCTGTCCGCGAGGGAAAACGATCATCCCTGCCTCGGGCGGCGCAAGCAGCTGGCGACGAGCCACTTTTGGATGGCGCTTCGCAAATGCGGCGGCGGTAGCTCAGGCGTAACATGACCCATCGACCTCTGGAGTCCGCCTGCGAGCTCCAGGGCGGCCGCGCCACTGCGCGCCATGAAGAGCTGGCACTGGCAACTCGCTGGGGCCTCCAGGGCGCCCGCGCGGGGGGACATTCCGGGCTGCACGCTGGACCGAGCGCGAACGCGCGTGGAGAGAATGGGCGCGATAACGAACTGGAGAGAATGATCATGCGCTGAACGATGCGAAACGAGCAGCGACGGCGCGGCGCCCCCTCGGGAAACGCCGGCGCCGCCCCGGCGCGCGCGCCCGACTGGCAGGGCCAGCGCCGCGCAACTCCGCCGTCCGTGCTGGCACAACACGACAACGAGTGAAACACGAAACCCATTACAATCGGCGGCAGTCGCAGCAACGACGAGGACCCCGCGGGCCCTTCGGACGGCAAGGTGAAGAAGAGCTTCTGGGCTCGAGGGCACACCGTGCAATCCCCGCTCGCCTTCAAGCTGCGGCGAGGCAATTCGATTGCGGCAGGGCCTCCCCGATGCCGCTTGGCCCTGCGGGCCTCGCCAAGGGCGCGCTGGTCCGCGGCGCGCCCGCGCAGGGGGCGCGCGGCGGATGGCGCGGCGTTCGGCGCCCTCGGACGCAGCCAGCTGCTTCTGACGGCGATCGAACCGCCGCCCGCAGGATCAGACGTCGCCCCCCGTCGGGGGCGCCCCCGCGAGCAGCGCGATCCTGGAGGCCTCCCACGCGGGGTCGGAGGTGACAGGGCCGGGGGCGCACGCTGCACGGGCGACCCATCGGCGATGCGCTGCAACGTCAAACTGGAGAAGGCCTCGGGCTGCGGGTCGCGCTTTATCGCCGATTCGTCGGCGATGCGGCGCGACCCTCCGACCTCATCCACTCCGAACAAAATGTTCGAAATGACGCAATCCTCCACCCTTCGCGAAAAACGGCAGCACCTGGCTGGCAGGAATGCGCGAGCGCGGTGGCGCTGGTATACTCAGCGCCCCCAATCCTTGACCTGGCGATACATGGCCTCGTCCCCCCCCGCGTTCTTCAGAACGTGCGAGTGGAGGCGCTGGAAGGCCGCGACGTTCCGCAGATAGTAGAATTGAGAGCATGCGCGGTGGAGATGCACCATCACGGATACACCCTCCCTTTCCTTGCGGGTCAACGTGTCCGAATACGTCGGCGCGATGCGCCAGAGGGCCCGACGTATTCAAACACACCACCGAACGGTTGCTCGACGTACGTCGCTCACTTGACGTCGGTGAACTCTGGGCCAGACCGAACGTCGTCCCATCTGGGGATGTACTTGCGCCCGCCGCGGTAGACATCCCATTCCAGCGGCACGGGGCACTGGAACTTCTTGTGCACCTTCAGCACTCGCCATGATGACGATACCCTGCGCTCCCCAATGCACCCGTCGATCCTCATCGTCGTCGTCGTCGTCGTCGTCGTCGTCGTCGTCGTCGTCGTCGTCGTGGTCGTCGTCGTCGTCGTCGTCGTCGTCGTCGTCGTCGTCGTCGTCGTCGTCTTCGTGGTCGTCGTCGTTGTCGTTGTTGTCGGCGTCGTCGTCGGCGTCGGCGTCGTCGTAGTCGTTGTTGTCGTCGTCGTTATCGTGGTCGTCGTGGACCCCCAAAACAATTCTCCCAAAGCAAACGGGGGGGGTCTGGACCACCCCCGTGGTTTTTGGAGGGGACGGGGGGGAACCCCCCCACCTTGCCAGCAGCGGCACAACGCGCGCCTTCCTACGAGTACGATCCCACTACCACGACAACAACAAACTCGCACCGTCTGACCGACTTCCTAATATATACGACTGGGCCCCCCATGTCTCTGTCTACACATATGGGAAGAGAGGGAGACCGGGGGAGGGAGGAGGAGGAGGTGCAGGGAGGAGGGAGGAATATGCTCAATTGAGCAGGGACCGACCGTCCCGGCATTCCTATAGTCCTACCGCGAAATGTTGTTAGAACCCAGCAATGTTCTAAGAGCAAAAACAATGTTCTTAGAACATAAACCCGATGTGATAAAACAAGACAGACTCCGCCAGACATGTTCTAAGAACACCCCGTGGAAACCACAAAAGGTTCTTCTTAGAACATTGCTTGGTGGAGCTACAGGCGAGCTGGGACGCTTCGCCACTGCTTGAGAGGAGGAGGAGGTGCAGGGAGGAGGGAGGAGGACGGCCGCGACGCCCACTCGCGAACCGAAAACGGCCAATTCCTTAATCGACGTGTCACGGTAGGAGGTCTGTCCACCCCCGAGTCTACGACTGGGTCCCCCATGTCTCCGTCTACACATATGGGAAGAGAGGGAGACCGGGGAGGGAGGAGGAGGAGGTGCAGGGAGGAGGGAGGAAGATGCTCTTTGGTCGACCCATAAGGGGGTCCAGCTGAAAGGGGGGCGGTGCAATAGATTTGGGGCAAGTGTGTTGCAAATGCATTGCGCCGGAGAATTGTATTGCATTGTATTGCGACGAATGCGTTGCGCGCGAAAATCCAGCAATACATTTGCGGCCCGGAATGTATTGCATGCCCCCGATGTATTGCAACCCCACAGATATATTGCACCAAATCTATTGCATCACCCCCCTATCGCTGGGCCCCCTTTTGGGTCAACCCGATGCTCATGGCCGTCGCGCCCCCTCCCCCGACGAGACTCCGGGAGAGCACCGCACCGCGGCCGCCCCCGCCGGGCGGGAGCGGCGGCCGCCCGGCAGGCCCCCCCCGGCGGAGCCCCGGCGAGGGCGGCCCTCGCGCGGCGGCCGCGGAGGCGGCGGCGCGCACCGCGCGGCCCCGGGGCCCCGGCGAGGAGGAGGAGGGAGGAGGAGGAGGGAGAGGAGGGGGAGGAGGAGGGGAGGAGGGGGAGGGAGGGGGAGGAGGGGGGAGGAGGAGGGGGAGGAGGAAGCGAGGAGAAGGAGAGGAGGAGGAGGAGGAGGAGGAGGAGGAGGAGGAGGAGGAGGAGGAGGAGGGGGATGAAGAAGAGGACGGGGAGGAGGAGGGGGAGGAGGAGGAGGAGGAGGAGGGGAAGGAGGAGGAGGAGGAGAGACGAGATGCGGCGAGGGAGCACGGCCCGGGGCGGGCGCGACACGACTGCGCCGTCCACCGCGCGGCTCCGAGGCCCCCGCAAACGTCTTGGCGTCGTCCGGCACGTCGGCCTTGTGCCCAGCGACGTAGACGAAGTCGATCTGCTCCACCTCTGAAGCGTTTGGGGCTACGATCATCGGCCTGACCTAAGGAACGATAAATCAGGAACGAAACCTCTTTTCTTGACTACCTACCAGACCACCCCAACCCAACCCGAAGACCCGAATTTCGGGTTGGGGGGGGTAAGGGTTTCATATGTGTTTTCTCAACATTCCCCGACCCCCCCCCACTGGAAATGGAGGGCAATTTGGAGCCTTCGGGTTGGGTTGGGGTGGTTTGGTGGGTGGTGATTTCTATCCCAAGGAATAACGCACAAGGAACGATAAATCCGCCGGCCCCCTTGTGCGGCCACCAGGCTGCGAGGCGCGTGACTCGCAGTTTCCTGTACCAGTTGTAGTTTGTAGTTTCCAGTGTTGCAGTTCTGCTTCTTGCTGGTTACTGTAACTAGTTCACTTCTTGCTGGTTACTGTAACTAATTGATTGACCGCGCGAGGGGGGGGGAGGCCCAAACGGGATTTTTAGCGTCCCCTGGGCGCGTTGTCTGAATTGCTGGGGGGGCTCGAAATCGACACCCCTCACGCAGATCCGCGGGGTCAGGGTCCAAAAACACAAGGGATTTGCCACATTTCTGAAATTCGGTGCCACCCCTCACGCAGATCCGCGGGGTCAGGGTCCAAAAACACAAGGGATTTGCCACATTTCTGAAATTCGGTGCCACCCCTCACGCAGATCCGCGGCGTCAGGGTCCAAAAACACGGGGATTTGCCACCTTTCTGACATTCGGCGCCACCCCTTACGCAGATCCACGGGGTCAGGGTCCAAAAACACAAGGGATTTGGCACATTTCTGAAATTCGGTGCCACCCTTCACGCACATCCATCGCAAGGCGTGGTAACCCAAACTGCGAGAACTCCCTCGGCCCTTTAATCGCAAGGTGTGGTAACCAAGCCCGTACACCATACACGTCTTACCAATCGCCAGGTGTGGTAACCCCTCTTGTGATCAGTTGGTTTTGCTGATTGCGTTCGGCTTCGCATGAAGTTTCGATACTGCTTCACAACAGCGCCAAGGCCTCATGACTTAGCTCTTCCATGGCCCATTCTCCGAGAGAGGGGGCCGGCGGCAGGGGGCGAAGCCCTTACGGATCATACATCACGCATGAGGAACTGTAAATGACGCATGCAAAATCTAAGGAACGACCGAGAGCCCCTTTTGAAAAGTAAGTGTTCCTTATTCCAGCCGCTCGCTGTACCATGTGGGCGACGATCCGAAACGTGCCGTGCGCGAGATGGCATGGAGGCCGCACGCGGCGGCTTGCGGGGGGCCGCCCGCGCGGCGCGCGCCCCCTTCGAGGCGCGGGGCGCCGACGCGCGACCTGACGCCGCACGCGGGCAGCTTACGCGGGCAGCGTGCGCGCCGATGTCGTCGCTCATGCGGGGCCTGCTCTAGAACATGGGACGCACATGGACATACTAATACTATATGTCCTCCTTGGAGGCGCGCGTCCGACCCGAACATATAGTATACCCATCTTGTAGTATATCGTTTCCCGAGCGGTGTGGCCAGAAAGCGCCCGCCACGACGCATATACTATAAGATTTCTCGGTGCGCGCGTCGCCCCTGGGGGGGCGACGCACATATAGTATAAGTATGTTGGGGTGTTGCCGAGAACAGGAGCATAGCGTAGACGGATCTCCCATTTCTCCGATATTGTGCTGCGCCGAGCGCAACAACCGCGCTGTCTACAGACGCATCCGCCCCAGATGTGTCTATAGACGTACCCAGCCCCAATGTGTCCATAGACGCTTAGGGGCTAGAGAGCGAGAACGGTATTTGCCATGGGCTCGAGATGTGAACCTTCCAGAAGCAGGTAGACAATAGCCCCCCCCCATAGAACGTTATGGAGACTTGCGGCGAGACCGGGGCACGCCATGCACTTGCTGGGCGGTGTGCAGCCCAACCGCAACCGTGGTTGCATAAGGACCCAATGAAAGGGACGGGGAAGCCCGCCGCGCCGGCTCTCTGTTCCCTTCCCCGGGTCTCCGCCAGCCCCTGTCGAGATGTGAGCGTTGGCTCCTCCCTGTCGGCCCCAGCCGTGCTTAGGACGAACACATCTCGCTGACGAACAGCCTTCTAAGGCCACAGGGCCACATCTCGCTGACGGGCCCCAGGGCCGTCCAGTGTCGCCAGTGTCGAAATGTGGACAGCGTCCGGGCCCCAGGGCCGTCCAAGGAGGCCCCCCCGGAAGGAGAGGTCGGGAGGCCTGGGGCCGCGGACGAGACAGAAAAAGGTGAACGGCGGCTGTCAGGGTCCGCCTTCACCTCGTCCTCCTCCTCCTCCTCCTCCTCCTCCTTCTCCTCCTTCTCCCTCCTCCTCCTCCTCCTCCTCCTTCTTCTCCCTCCTCCTCCTTCTTCTCCTTCTCCCTCCTCCTCCGCCGCATCCACCTCCAGCTGCCACGTGGGCCAAACAGATAGCCAGGGCAGCACGCACCGCCAAGGTGCCATTCCACAGCGCGCGCTGAAAGGATCGGGCGGAAGGCCCGCATCGCAGCGACGGCATGGACGGCTTCTCTTGCACTGCTTCTCTTCAGCCCCCTGTCAACCAGACCCGACATAATGGCTGATACATATAAATATATATATATATATATATATATATACAGATGTGTGTGTGTATGAAGAGGCGCACAACTTTGACGCAATCATCCTGACAGGGGCCGATCGATGGAGGAGAGAGCCCCACGTGACACAAGGTAGAATAGAAGGCAAGAGGTACATAGACGAATGATGGAGGACGGGAGAGCTGGCAAACAGAAGCACGGGCACCGTGGTAGCAGTACAAAGACGACTTAGGGGTGCTCAAATCATCAGCGTGACGGAACCACCTTCAGAACTATGCGGACGCGGATGCTCTCACAGTACAACATCACGGCCTACTCATCACGATGATCGGATATTAATGCCCGCCGCAGCCCAACAAAGGCAACACCGCCAACCAGCACTACGCGGCGATCGCTCGCCTGTTCAAGTAGATGGAGGAGACAGCGAGGGATACACCCTGACGCAGCGTATTGACTGTCAAGGGCGACCTCAACGATGGCATTAGCACCACAACGCAAGGAACACATCCAGAATCACCAGCACTGGGACCAGGACGAGCGCGAGGAAGACTACCAGGAGGAGCAGTACAGAAGGCCAGACTATTCGCGGAGAAGCACTGCCTGACGGTCGCGAATTGCATTGCCTACATCATGGCACCACGGGAGCTGGCGAACAACATGATATTGCAAGGCCCATTGCTGCGCATGGGCACACGCCTACAACACAGCCCCTGCCGGAAACACAGACCACGTACCAGTTCAGGCTACATTACGACTACCACTGCGATAGCGACGTCGGCAACAACAGAAGATAACAACATGGGACAGAGATGGACTAGTGCGAGCAGTCAGACAAGGACACAACGGGAACAAGTCCACCTGCGACCTCGAGCAGAATGTGGAGCAGTACGAACCAGAGGGAAAAAGAATAGACGCACCCTTCCAGGACATCAATGATATGATCATAGACTCGGCTCGTAAATATTACGCCCCCAACCGGCGGCCAACCACGAAGGGCTGAAGCAACAACGCATGGCCCTGCTAAGACGGAGACGAGAAGGTATTGCAAAGCTACGACAACGTTGACCAACCCTCACGATCAAGACCTACATACATACCAGACAAGGCCGACATGGAATATATCACGAAAGCTAATACAGAGACTAACCGCCATAAAGCACCGATCACGCCGCCACAAGCCTCGCAGGACGCTGACGGAACCAGACTAGGACCCGCTGCCGATAACCTCCTGGGAGCCCAGTGGGGGCCCATGGGCCCGAGGGGCAGGGAAGGGAAGAACCCCTACGCCGAACAGAAGGAACAGTTACATATCGAGTTCAACGAGACAGAGATCGCAGTCAGAGAATTAGAGCAGGCGCTCAAGCAGATCGCCAAGCAGAGCGCTAAACTACGGAAGCAAGAATACCAGCAGAGGAACGACGCCAGGGTCGAGGAGCTGAATGAGGCATCGGAGAGACGAGATCTCGCAAGGGTTGGACGAATATCATTATTCATAGCGGGAGAACGCTGCGGACCACGAAAACGAGACTACTGGACTGCGGCCACCGCGAACTCGAACAAGTAGGAGTGGACCGATCTCTGGAAACTACTAGGAGGCGAAGGAGGAATGGAGGGCACGAGCAAAACGAGGAGGAGTTGTAGCAGATCCCACACCTGACGGAAGACAGCGATTAATACGAGCACGACCTGGAGAGCTTCGTGGAGGCAAACTACGAGGATATCACGACGAGCCTGAAGAAGGCCAAACTACGCAGACCGGCTCCGCAGGAAGCAGCACCTTTTTTCAAGTATGGCGACCACTGCTATGCCACCCGCCTGAAGTACAACAGCAACAGCGGAACGCAGCGACAGCAGCACGGAAGAACACGAAGGAAAGCCCCGCTGGCACGAGAATCGACCACATCATGGACCCGTTCGGCAAGGCATACTACTCGGCATGGACCATAAGGAACAACGGCAAGGCGCACAACGACCAGGACTTCGGCTGCATTAGAGCAAGACAACAGGAGGGAGCTGAACACTCATTATGGCAGTGGCGGAATGCAGGGCGAGACAGGCAGGCAGGGACTACGCGTCCACGCTGAAGGACATGTGCAACGCCTTCGCGAGCTGCTCGTGGCTAGCCATGGACGCGGCCAACAGCAAGACCATGCCAGAAGACCAACAGGACCGCGGAGAGCAAAGGTATCGCCGAGCCACTTTCAACATACCACGCAGGGACACGGACAAAGGAGTACGCATCAAACTACACTGCGGGGGACCCATCGGGGACCCGTACACGGTCCGCAACTTCGCGGCGAGCTTCGCACCCTGCATCCAGAGATGGGTAGAAGACTGCAAAGCGGGAATCGAGACGGACAGCCCCCTGCACGGTCATAGCGATTTGTTTCAGCACCTGGCTCATCTCGGCCTCGCCGCGTGCGCAGACGACCTCAGGAGGCTAAATCCGAGGAGGCTACGGCGCGAGTGCGAGGGAGCTGGTGGACATGGCAAAGACAGCAGACGAGAAGCTCAACGCGAGGCAGGAGGATATTGGAACGCGACAGAAACAAAACAAGCAACATAACATAGTGTACTTCCAGGGCAACGGCACCGCCAAGGCGCGCACCGCGACCTTAAGAAAAACCATCTGCAAGTTGCCGGGCGCAGCGCTCGAAGCAACGCGCTGCCTGGGCTCCCAGATCTCAGCGACGCAGAGCTACACCGCGGAGCTCCAGCAGCGCGCCCTGGCGATGAAGAAGAGCTGAGCTGCTACGAACGCGGAGGCTTCTGGACGAATGCCAACATCCCCGCCCCCGGCCCGCGGCCCCCGCGCCCAGCGCAGAGATTGAGGGAGGGGGGGCAGCCTGTTTGAGCCAGGCGCGGCGCGGCTGGCGTCGTCGTCGTCGTTCGTCTCTCGTCGTCGCGCGCGCCTCTCCTCTCTCCCCGTTCAAGAAGAAACGCGCGGTTCTGATTTGCAGGGTCGTCAACACGGGCCGCTCGTGCATCGAGTACTTCTTTTCCTCCCAGCGCCGAGCGAGTGCCTGCAGCTGCAGAGCACGAGGGGCGCACTACTCCGACGGGCTGTGAGAGGAGCACCTGCTCACCGTCAAGACGGCAGCGTGGGGAGCACGACCACCTTGGAGATCTTTCCCTGCTGGCAAATCCTGCCCCCAGCGGAGGAGGCACTGGTGCGCAGGCTTGGCTGGGCAAACAACAGATCTGGAGATTTCCGAATAGCCACCGCTAGCTGATTTCGATGCTCGGCCGACTCGGGTTCCACTGAAAGGGCGATGGCGACACGACCGACGAGCTCAAGAGCAACACGAACCCACGGGCCCGAAATTCGTGAACGGCATCGGATTCGCCTGCGAGGTTTTGAAGAGTTTTCGTACGACACTCGGCGACAGGATCTCGATCGGCAAACTATTCACGCTAAACGTAAGAGAGCAACTACATCGACTAGACCTCCGAGAAGTGAGATCAGCTAGGCTAGCAGTGGCAGTACCCCCACCTGGAGTAGGACAAAGCGACGAACTACGGAAGGAGCTAGTCCTACAGGAATTACATACAACCCTGGGCATTCGAACTCAAGGTGGAGAAGGAGGAGGAGGAGGAGGAGGAGTGCAGACTACTATCTGCAAGCAAAGAGGCACTGCACAGCCACATGATACGAAACCATCACGTACGCAATCTAACTGCAGCTTTAACATCAAACAACGAGTGCATCAATTGCGGGCAAGTGCTCACGAGAAGAGGCACTGCGTGGCAACATCTGGCGATAAGCATGGCGAAAGGATGTTGCAACCAAGACACGGCGAAAAACCAGTGCCAGTCAGAACCCCATAATCCGAGATGCCCTATCTGTAGTCACTTGGCTTTGGAAAGAAGGGGAGTTGCTTCCACACTTACCAAGATAGCTGCGACTACCTCAAGAGCAGGACGGCGCTATTCGATCATAGACCACAGTGGGGCATGGCGGCACCAGCAGCAGGACCAGCGCGCCAAGGCCGAAG